CTTGATGCCTACAAGTACTAAAACAACTGGTCTCTCCTATCTTTGTTAGATGTTCAGACAAAGTAAAATGGGCTGATCAGCCACCCTTAAAGTCCAGACTGAGAGGCAGCAGCATTTTTCTAAGCTCGGAATCTCCTCTGTGGTGATAGATTGGCAGCTTCTTCAAAAGTGAGGTTTTTTCTTTGTTTTTGAAGGAAATCATTAACTTTTCCCCAGGCGTCGGACACTGTTTAGGCCAAAATCTCACAGAAGACTACGAGCACAGTTACGACCTTGAAAAGCCGCCTCCCAGGAGATAAAAGACCGGCATGTACGGCCCAGACGACATGCAGAGGTATCTCATCAAAATGTCAAGATAGCAGGATTCTTGTTTAGAAACCATTTTCTCTTTCTTTTTTTTATGGAAAATGACATCATGGTCTAATTTATATCTAGATCCATCCTCAAAGTGTTCCTAGATGTGCAAAGCTGACGGTTAGGTTATCCGGCTCAATAATAAACGTGGCAAGGAGTTCTCCGCCGTTCTCTCGGCTTAACGGAACAGATGCTGAGCTATTTGCTAGCAGATGGTGGGATTTGCTGCCTGCTATGCCGGTCCGGATTGAGGCCCGGCTTATCCGAGGCCACCAGTTCGCGTGAGCCGACTTCTCGGATCTAGAAGGTGGAAGGAGTTGCTGCTCACCATTTAGTTTTTATGGAAATTTTTATCGATGCATCAGTTAATCTATCCACTTTATTCTCAGAACAAAGCAATCGGACAATAGAGTTAATGTAAATTTTTATAAAATGGAAAATTTTATTTTGCATTTATACATCAAATACATTTAGCAAATGTATTTCTTTTATAATTTCATAAGATTATTAATTTGATATCATTTAATTAATTTATAATTTAATTACATTAATTTTTATTGAATTTTATATAAATTTATTCAAATTTAGCAAATTTAGCCAGTTTAATGTAGCATTTATTTGGCAAGTACATTTAGCAAATTTGTTTGTTTTATAATTCCATTAAATTAGTAATGTAATATAATTTATTTCATATCATAATTCAGAATGTTTTTCTTTTATTATATTTTATACAAATTTATTCAAACAAATTTAGTAAAATTTAGCGATTTTGGCAAAATTACCGAACTATACCAAGATCAAGTTAGCCCATAAGTTTTTGACCACAAATGCACTTTTTACATATATTTTCTCCCGTTTAACCAGGTTTTGTGGCATTATCACATCACCTGCTGTGCTAAAACAGGTAACATTTGGCTGTGAATAAGTAAACCGACATATTTACAGCACCCACCAATTGTCGCAGCCCTCGTCAAAAGCTAGAGCTGCCATGACAAGAACCTCTAATCTGCTAACATGAACAGTATTGTATTCTAAACAGTGACCTACATCCACAGTCTTTGTGTTCTGCGGAGTTGTGTGTAACCCATCGTCTCCTGAGACTTCTCAGTTACTGAGATTGGTTTCGTGGCTGTGGGTTCACCGCAGCGTTTACATATTAGGTGCTTACTTCAGCAGTATATGCCCTCTTCCTCACCAGCTGGTATGGTTGGTACTTTCTTTTTCCAGCTGAGTTGTTGATTTCCTCCCTTGGGGTTTCAAGGAAGCTGCTAAAGTAGTTTTCGTTTCTCAGCTCTGAACCCGCGTGGTTGTCGAGACTTTCTCTTCTCAGTAGCTTCTTTTCATTGCGTCTTCCTGCCTAGAAGAGAAGAGTTCAAACAGTTGTGGTCGTCAGTGTATATGTTCTGAGGTGGGGGAGTTTTCGAGGGGGCTTCCACATACTCTTTCCGTCGGTCTCTAATTTACCATCTGAATGCTTCTTTCTTTATAAAAGGCACTTAGTTCAGAGAAGACTTACAGTTGCATCTGGTATTTGCATGATCTCGATTTCTTGGAATAGGTCTTAAACTGGGCCGCTCTGGTGGCCACCACTACCCTAGCCCACCCCACCCTTCTTTAGCTTGGTGCGTTGAATATGTTATTGGATTTGTACCATATTTACTTATTAAGAACATGAAGGCCCATAATTTCACACCTTTTATATGAACAGCATGCGTGCATCAGTATCTGATATTTTTAGCGTATATATCTGTTTAAGCCAATTCAGGTACATTTATAAAAAAATCTGAAATAAGGAATTAATTGACTGGATTAGCATTGCAAAGAACATTTAAACGCACTGATACAACTGTTTATTAATTATCAGTTTGCATTTTATATTAAGCAATTATTTTTCAAATACTGATGATCCTGGTATCATCATGCATCCCTAATTTTCCTGAACTCCATGGAACCACCAGTGGTTCCAAAACGCACTTCATCAAAAAGTGGTTGGTGTAGTGTGGTGGGTAACACCTCTGCCGTCTACGCTGTCGACTGGGGTTCAGTCCCCGCCTGGGTAAACATCCTACACTATGCCAATAGGAGTCCCTGGGCAAGACTCCTAACACTCCCTTCACCTCCCTGTGTAAAACGATCAAATTGTAAGTCGCTCTGGATAAGAGCGTCTGGTAAATGCCTTAAATGTAGATGTAAAAAAAACACCAACATTTTGCATTTATTTGATGCAGTTGCTGAATAACTTGCCTTAAGATTTGGTAAATTCAGACGGAAAAACCGAAATATACCCAGGAGAATAAGAACTGAATTCTTATCAGTGCAGTTCAAATTAGATTGTGTTACTATTACTGTTGACCTACTTTATAATGTTTGTTGCAAGATAAGTGTGGAGAAGTGACCTTGTTGATTACCCAGCCCTATGTATATTGAATGTTGCTTAGGGATATTTGACAGCCATAACGATATATAATATTGATTTTAAAGGAGTTCAGCAGGGTGTAGAGCTGCAGTTCGAGCTGCGTCTTGTGTAGGTGTGGAGAACTACCTACGGTTATTTGTGACTTTCTCTGTATGTGGGGCCGAGCACATTATTAGGCTTGATAAATCTATCTGTGCTTGACAGTTGGCAGCAAATCGAGAGAGATAAAGGCCTCCATCTCCCTCTCTGTGTGCAGATAAGCCTGTGCTAACATGCTAGCCACTGTGATTCACTTCCAGAGAGGGGTGGAGTGACTTCAGCCATACAACGAGGCATGAAGGAAAGGGGAAATGTGTGGTTTTAAGGTGTTTTTTGTCCACGGTGGGCTAATTTATTACCTTCACATGCCAGACGATATGAGACAAAGGCCAGATGGTTTGGCCTCACTTCTCTCAGCCAGGTTATGCACTCAAAAAGGAAGTGAACCTGCATGTTTACACAAGATCTTTACCTTCGGCTTGAAATCGAGAGCGCCGTTTGGTCCGTGAACTGGATTCTAAGGGAGGGATATCGGTGGGCTGCAGTGGTATGGACGCTTAAGTATGGCAACATGAGAAATAAATTGGTTGCTTGTCTGAGACTGGAAGGGTGGCATTCCAGAGCACAGTGGAGTGCAAGTGTGGTTTTCCCTCTGGGAAATATTGGTGATGCATTATGGGCCGTTTTCCTAGAGAGGGATTAAGACCCTTTGTCCAAAAATTTGCTCATTGGTATTAATTATCGCTATTGTCAGAAGAAAACCTTGTATCTCCAAAATAGTAACTTTACAGGAGAAGGAAAAAACATACTTTACTTTTAATGTAAGTCAATGGAACCAGACGTTTTTCCAAGTCATTTTGGGACGTTTCTTTTGGTCCATTCATCATGGAATTTACACACAATGTAAAGAGCAACAGGTATTTTCAAATTATCTCAAACTGATTTTTTTTATTATCATTATTATTATTATTATTATTATTATTATTATTATTATAAATAGTTAGTTTGTCTCCTATTGCTCCAGTATCAGCCCCTACTCTTCTGGGAAGGCTTTAGACTTGGTGTTGGGACATTGCTGTGAGGATTTGATTGCATTTAGCCTTCACAAGAGCGTTAGTGAGATCATCCAACATAGTATCTGACCAGTTCCGAATCACTCCAGCTCATCCCAGAGGCACTTAGCATTGGACATGGTGACCTTTGGCTGCGCCTATTCTTTTATCAGTACATAAAGTATAACTCACTTGTTTAAAAAGGGGGATTGTGAGTTTGTTTGTCAGCTTAGACTGCATGCAGTTTAAAATTACACCCAAACGTTAACTGACCCTGTGATTAATGGTTGATCATGAAGTTTGAACTCTTTTCTAAGCCACGGTTGAACAGTCATCCGAGTCTAACAAAAGGCCAGTCTGCTGAGTAGATGAATAATGCGTGAATGTGTCCGTAGTCACGATGTTCCTGGATCCACCCATTCTTGTCAACAGACGCACAGCTGTTTCTATAACAAACCAAAGCCTTAATTACACTGAAACTCAGCTGTCTACCAAACATAGACCTGTTGGCTTGTAGGCCAGCTGCTCTAGTTGGTTGAATCGGTCAGTACTTCACAGCTTGTGTCCTTACTCTCTTATTACGTCTCTTTTTCTGTTACTCTTGTTTTTCGGCTTTCTGAATTGGACCAACAGACCGAAGCTTTCAGAGTTAACCCCTTACTTCAGATGTGAAACAGTTACGACCAATAACATCTTTCAATTACACTCAGTACCTTCGCATAATTATTGTGATTGAGTAGATGAAAACAGGATGGTGGCTTTGCTCTATAAAGTCAGCATGGACGTCTAGCCCAGAAGGTCATCAGCAAATCCAGTTATCGGAGGCTTTTGCTGACGTGGCACGGCCTTTTTGCCCCCCTCCTCCCCCCCTCCCCCATTGTTTAAGGAACAACAGACGTCCATTGTGCTCAGGGTTGATGTGGTATCAGGCATTTCCTGTGTAACTTTAATAATAGAGAAGATAAGGGCCAGGGTGAGCACTTCCTGTTCTAGCCTCCAAGGTTACGGCTCTGCCAGTTGCCACAGTGAACCGTTTTCCAAAAGGAAACTCGATAATGTTTATGTTGAGCTTTTCATGCAATCACTTTGGTAAATATTGCAAAAACAGACCTAATCAAAGTGCCTATGTGTTCTTCCAGGTACGAGAGACAGAAACATGGGTGCGCGACGAGGGGGTGGAGCCGCACGACGCCGACCTCGAGTCATCTGGCGATTTTGGTTTCAATGATGAGCTGGACTTATTGTCCGTCGAGGAAGATGATGAGTATGAGTTTTCAGGCTCTGGTGATGATGATGATGAAGAAGATGAATATGGCGACTACAATGCAAAGGCAACAGATGAGGTAAACGCATTTCCGACAAAGAAAAGTATCGAACCATTTTCAAAAAACATCCCCTTTATCTCAGTTAACACAGCTGAACCAAAGCCTTAAAAGGGAATTTGTCAAACCTTGCAGCATAATTAAATCGTTACGAGGTAAAAGTCATGATGTTTGTTTTATGTGAACAGTGGTGGTGATGGGAACCAGGTATCTGAGTTCGATACCTCTAAAAGCATGAAACGGTTATAAATACGCTGCCTGATGCCTAAAACATTGTTTTATAACAGTTTCAGGAAGCCTGTAGCCTGAAATGTGTATTTAAGAGGTACATGCATGGTGTCAAAAGGCAAAATAGTACACAAGGAAATCTTTTGTTTAGCTTTAACTTCCAGTTTCTATCAGCACCACAGCAAAGAAATACAAGTTTGTACGGTTCTAGTCAATGAACCGCTTCATTCCAACCCCTCTGATTGACTTTGTACACATCCCAGCCTTTGAATTATGCAGAAATGTTTAAAAATGAGTGGAATTCCTCTTTAAATATTGAAAACACATTTATTTGTTTATTTATTTTTTCTTTCTCTCTCTCTCTCTCTCTCAGTCTGAAATAAACAACGAAATCCCAGACGCAGATCCTCCACGGATACTGACTGAGCCAGACGATGATCTGGACTTGGTGCGACAAAACGAGATTGCTCATTCATCCAGCGTCCAGCAGAACAAAGCTGAACAGAACATTTTTAACAAGACAGAAGTTCTTGCAGGTAAGATAGTTCACAAGAAACCCTGAGTGTTACCAGAATTAGTTTTAATTATTTGCACATTTGCCAGCAAAGGAGAAGAGTCAGGGTTCAAAGTTGGTTTTAAAACACTGTTATGCATTTATCTCACTGATTATTGTCTTTTATTTTTTGCAGCTGTCATTGCTGGCGGTGCCGTTGGCCTGCTCTTCGCCGTCCTCCTCATCCTTCTTCTGGTCTACCGCATGAAGAAGAAAGACGAAGGCAGTTACGACTTGGGCAAAAAGCCCATCTACAAGAAAGCACCCACCACCGAGATCTATGCATGAACGTGCGAAGCCACACCATCTGAAGCAAATAAGAAATTCCGAACTCTAAACTCACATAGTGCCTCCGACGCACGGCCAACCTCACTCTCTCTTCTACCTGAGAAACCGTAACATCACAGCTTCTGAATGAAAACGTGATTACTCTGGACATTTCAGCAGAACCTCACCAGGTCAAAGTCGCCGGGAGGGGAAGGTTCTCTGTTGCCAAACTGCACTGTACAAGTTTTGACATTATCCTTTTTGGCGTTTTTCTTTTTTTTTTAATGCCCAAAGTGAAATGCCATTTGGTCCCTTGCCTTTAAGCTTTCCCTGGTTTGTAAACACTACAAGGTGCAAAGAGGACTTTTGCAGGTACATGACACGGATTAGAAATCAGGATAAAACTTTAAGCGGACTTTTATCTGTGCCATTGAGGGGAATGTTACTGTAGCCTTTTGCTTGTTAAGACGTTTAATTTTGTGTTGCTGATTAGTATCAGAGGTACAGATTGTGAACATGCTGTTCATCTTATAAAACTGACCTTTGGGCATTCACGTTAAGCTGAATATACACATTTAAAAGCCTCAACAGTTCTACCTTTTTTTTTAATGAGCTTGCAGATTTTATATATATATATATATATATATATATATATACAATAAACCAGGTGTTCTTACATTCCATATATTCACCTCATAGTAATTATGAATGAGTTTTAAGGCTAACGTCATGGTGAAACGCTTCATGGTTTTCTGATTTGACTGACAGCCAAGCCCAGGCATTGTTACTCAGAGCTGTTCTCCTCTTAGCTCGTTTAACAGGTACGTCTTTTGCCGCTGACTGAAAAGTCTCTGCAAACAGACTTCTGATTTCCAGGGATGTGTAAATAGCCGTTTGAATAAAATGTACTTTTGGCAGACTTTTATTTACCAAATATTTAAATGCCAAAACTTTCTTCTTATCACTTTTTTTTCCCGGTATTGAGTTTATAAATTAAACATGGAATGATGATCTTTTATTATTGTTATAAATATTATTATTATTATATTGTTTCTTTGCCTTTGAGAAACAGTACGAAGTTTCAAAAAATGATAATGACCAATGCTAATACTAACGTTTTCCTGTCAACTTTGTTTCCTGTCTCCTTTTCAGTGTTTCATAGATGACTTCTTTTTTTTTATTTCATTTTTATTTTGTTTTTGTATTAATTTAACTGTCAAATAGCTTATTTTATTGCCTTCCTTCAGGTTGGGGGTTCCTCCCCTCTAAGCTGTACATGTGATTTAGAAAAAAAGAAATCTGTACACTAGTGAAAGATTTTCAGAAGAGTTTTGAAGCAATTTTTTGTGTTGTTTTGTAAAAGTTTCTATTCCTTTTAGACCTTTTTAAGCGATATATATATTATATATTTATATTTTGTAGAAGGATGCTCAGAGTAGTGCCAGGGTGAGTGAATGAACCATGTCATTTGCATGGAGAAAAGTAAGAAAATCTGCTGCTTTTTTTTTCTACATCACACGATGTAAATTCACCAATCTAGTCGAGGAATCAATGAATCATTGGTTTCTGCTTGCAGGTTCTAATCTGATTGGAAATAAAGCGATTTTATGCACATTAACATTTATAAAGGTGTCGCTGTCTTACTTTCAAACTCACTCATGCTGTAATGGATGATAATGAATGCAATGTAAATGGAGAGAACGTTTGATATGTAAACATCCTCCTCCTCTCCTTAAAGGGGAATTCCACCAATTTTTTCAAAATTTCTTTGCACAATTCAGTGTGTGAGATGTAATCAGAGTGATTCAGAACGGTTTGGTGTGAAACGGTTCAACGGAATATTGATGATGTTAAAATAGTGATAAATCTGAAAAATAAGTTCTTGGAATGGATTTTTAAAACATACATTTGATACCAAACTTTATGGTAAGACAGTGTCAGACATCAGGCAGTGAATTCATAACCATTTCATGTGAGGGAGTTTTTAGAGGTGGACGTCTGGTTCCTATCAACACCACTGTGAACAATTCTGACTCTGCAAGTTTCTCTGGCCACTCTGAATGACCTTTTAACCCATTGAAGTATGCTGAAATTTTGAAAAGTCATTGGAATTTCCCTTTAAGGCTTTTGTCTTTGAGATAAAGTCTGAAGAGAAACTTAAGCTCCACTCTTGCTTCAGATGTGAAAAATGTCAACTATAAAAGACTAGGGCACTCCTGACCTTTTGAATTGTCCAGCCTACGTGCTCTTTCTCGGTCAGGGCTTTTCAAAATTTCAAGATGCACTATGGGCTGGTTTCCCAGACATGGATTAAGCCTAGTCTTTGACTTAATTGCAGTGCTAATGGACACTATTGGAATTTCTTTTTTGGCTAAGATTAGCCTTAATCTGGGTCCAGGAAACTGGCCCTGCATGTCCAAAAGTATCCACACAGCCTTTGAGAGAATTCTGTTACTTTAAGGTCACCCAGTACTGACACAGCCTGTATAATCTCCATAGAAAAGCACTGACCAATAGAATAGACACTCTGGAGCAGTAACCCATAAGTCTAAGGTCACCATGCCCAATGCCAAGCATGGGCTAGAGGAGTATAAAGCCCCCCAGCATTGGGCCGTGGAGCAGTGGAACTGTGTTCTCTGGAGTGATGGAGCTCCATCCGGTACCTTTGGGATGAGTTGGAGTGATCCAGAACTGACCATCCCACATCAGTACCTGACCTCACTAATGTTCAATCAAATCCTCACAGCAATGTTCCAACACCTAGAACCCTTCTCAGAAGAGTAGAGGCTGTTACTGCAGCACAAACTCACTATTAACACCTTCAATTCTGAGGAAAGTGTCTACAAGCCTTTGGACATGGTGGTGTCAGTAGGTCTGCTTGGTTGTTTCTGGCTCGGGGCTTTTCAAGATAAGATTAGTTGATAATCTATATGTGGGGCATTTTGAGTCTAAAAACAGTCGAGCAGGGAAAGTCCCCATCCCACGCCCCCCACCCCCAGCTCTCCATTCATTAGCTGTGAGAGCATGCACACATATCATGACTAGGCCTCAGCATGCCGATACCTGCCTTTCTATACTGTCCCAGCTCAGGTTCTAGCCAAGATGGTGGGAGATTATTTATTTGAGAGGGAAACGGGACGGATAGAGGAATCATGCCCCTCACATAAACTTCCCTAATTGATCCCCTTAACATTCCAGGCTCATTACATACTAAGGCTTATTGTTCATTAGCTACAGGGAGTTCAATGCAAACTAATGGAGCTTTTCTTAGGTTATAGAGTGTGTACCTTGGCTGGGTAAGGGGTTAAAGGGAAATTCCACCTATTTTTCAAAATGTATGGATACTTAAGTGGTTAAGATGTATAGTCAGAATTGTTCACAGTGGTGATGATAGGAAACAGATGTCTGAAATGTCTCTACAAGCTCCCTCACAGAAAGTTAAATGACATGGTTCTGAATAGCACTGCTGTCAGAAGAAAACCTTGTATATCCATTTTGTTGTTTTTCAGTTTTTGACGTAATTTGAAAATGCCTGTTGTCCTTTACATTGTGTGTAAATTTCATGATGAATGGACCAAAAGAAACGGCCCAAAATGACTTGGAAATGATTCTGGTTCCATTGACTTACATTAAAAGTAAAGTATTTTTTCAAAAATGGTTGCTGTGTTGTAAACATGGTTCCTATCACCACCACTGTAAAGAAATCTGAGTCTCTACAATCAACCATTTCACACCAAACCACTCTGAATGACTCTGTTTATATAGACTGAATGATGCAGAAATTTTGAAAAATTGGTGGAATTCCCCTTTTCACTGTTAAAGTAAAGTAGCTGCCTATGTCGTTTTATAAACAGCCTAGTTTTACAGGAGTAAGATCTGTTCAATATAACACACTTTCCTAAATAATGAGGACAGAGTTGCTAATGAATGTAATAAATATAATATTAGAACGAGACCTTTAAAAAACAACAACAATAATAATAATAATAATCAAATGAACTCAAATGACTCTGCAGTCTTTGTGTGAACCTGGGAAATTCCTCTTAAACAGAAAGCAGCATTAAAATGGGAAGTGATGATATCCAGTGAACGTTTCACAGCAGAATTAAGCACGTGATCGGTTAAATAGGCCGAAACGTAAACAGAGGAATTTCCCGAGTGACGCGGCGCGGATGGATACCAAACAAAAGCGATAACAGGTGAAATTTGCAATGGAGAACTTTTCCATCGCGGCCGAGCGCTCAGTTCCTTCTTTCCCTTTTAGGAGAACAGATCAGCTCCCACACAAATCCAAACAGGAAAGGGAGGACAGATAAATGATTGTTTTGTTTTCGCCTCTTCCTCCGCTGCTAAAAGGGGGGCGGCCTGGAGGATCATGCGCGGAGGATTTGCATGGCTGACGGAGAGCTGTGTCACAACAAACCCCGAGGAGATGAAGGAAGTGCATCAACAAAACCGGACCAGTCTGGATTCAAAGAGGAGCCACACCGATTTTTCAAAGTTTCTGAATAATTCAGATGATCATTCAGAGTGGTTTGGTGTGAAATGGTTCAGATGTCTTTACAGTGGTGGTGATAGGAACCAGGGGTCGCCATGACTACAACACAAATATAGACATTTTATTTACTATCCAGAACCACCAGAGAACCTACACGAGTCCTCTGAGTTTATATGGAACGTTGATGTTGGAAAATAGTGATAAATCTGAGAAAGAAAAAAAAAGTTTTTTTAGGGACTATTTTGTCCTACATTGCCATGCATGTATCCCTCCACCATGAATGGATTAAAAATAAATGGATTAAAATACTGTGGCGTCAGTGAAAAAGTCAAGTCAAAGTTTATTTATTTAGCGCTTCTTACAACAGGTGTTGTCACAAAGCAGCTTTACAGAAAATTCCGGGTCCGAGCCCCCATGAGCGTCGCCAATGACGACGGTGGCAAGGAAAAACTCCCTAAGAGCAAGAGGAGGAAACACTGAGAGGAACTAAGACTCGAATGGGGAACCCATCCTCCTCTGTCGACACCGGATAGCAAACAGTGTTAGGATAAAATATTAAAACATAAAACGGGGAAAAACAGGCGGAGCAATGGTTAAATTAAATAGTTTGAGTTTACTCAGCAGCATCAGCATCAGGAGGGTCAGTTCAGAGTTCAAAAGAAGACGAAGGAAACACTGTGCTTTAAAAGTGAATGCTCTTTTATTGAGCATAGCAGCAAGGGAGAACTGCCGCTAGCACGGCCAAGATAGCAGGTAGGTCACTTCTTCTGACACTATGCCAACCCCTCTCTCCGCAGCAGGGCTTACGGTTTGTGCTCTACAGCCACAAACACCCCCGGTCCTCTCCGGGACAGCAGCAGAGAGACTGAGCACTGCATGCTTCCATTCACGGAGGAATTCCTTGTAGCTTGTGCCATCAATCCTCGTGCTACTAGGGGTGGCGGCAACAGCAGCAGCGTACCCTCGGCTGCTCTCTCTTTCTTCCGCCACCCCCTGCGCCATCGACACCAGTGATGGTGCTGATGTGCACTGAAGCCCCAACTCATGGCCTCCAGGGCCATCCATGCCACCAGCATCTTTTTGCTGCATCCCTGGAGGGCTGCGGTCATTGGCTCCAGGCTCCCACACTGTTCTGTCGCCGTCCCCTGGCTGCAGAGCCTCTATGCACTGTTTGCTCTTCAGCTTTCTTCACCACCCATCCTCACTGCACTGCTACGTCTTCCACAGTCCTCAGCCGGGCTCTCTTTTCCACCTTTTCATTAGAGTTTGTGGAATCACCATTCTTCTCCAGTCTATTGGGTGCGCTATCCCACTTCTGACACCAGTGTGACCTCAGCAAAGAAGACAGTGCTGGAAACATTGTGCTTTAAAGCTGAATGCTCTTTTATTGAACACGCCAGCAAGGGAGAACCACTGCTAGCACAGCCAAAATAGCAGGTAGGTCACTTCTAGCCATACACTTTTTCCTGCTAATATGCCAGGCTGCCACACTGCTCCACCGGCAGGTCACCGTCCTCCGGCCAGACTCCGCTGCAGATCATCGCCGCACTGCTTCCTCTTCAGCTGTCTTCACCACCCATCTTCACTGCACAGCTAATTCTTTCACAGTCCTCAGCCGGGCTCTCTTTTCCGCCTTTCCATTTGAGTTTGTGGAAGCACCATTCTTCTCCAGTCTATTGGGTGCGCTATCCCACTTCTGACACCAGTCTGACATCAGTGAAGAAAAAGACGTAAGAAACATTGTGGTTTAAAGGCAAATGCTCTTTTATTGTACACAGCCGCAAGGGAGAACCGTCGCTCGGTACCTGGCTCAGTACCAGCAGACAGGTAACTTTTAGCTGTAAACTTTCACCTGACAGCAGGCACACAGCACCAACTACCCCACAGCCCAGCACAGAACAGCACAAACAACACCTGCACATCTTTAAGCTACAACTATTTACACATTTAAGTCTCTTCTACTGCAAAGGCAGCACTAAGGGCCTCTTTGCTTGGCTGCTCTGCATGGCCACGCCTCACACGCTCCCATGGCCGGGTGAGCCAGTAGGGAGACGCTGCTATATATTTTAAGCCAAATCATTATCACAAAACTATCATAAAACAATGTGTCAGCCATCAGCCAGC